AGTGTCACTTTTTCTATCCAAATGATAAGTTATTCAGAGAAAGTTTCCCAGCTATCAAGAGGGAATTGTTCCTTATGAGGTATATATTCATACTGTATACCTCATAAGGAACAATTCCCTCCTTAAAACGAGAAAACTTGTTCGAAATTGTTTATTCATTTCGAACAAGTTTTCTCGTTTTTAATAAGAAACTAAAGGCTATGAGGCACTGATTATATATTGTGCCTCACAGCCTTTAGTTTCTAATAGATAGCTGGGAAAACTTTCTCCAAATGATAAGTTATTCAGAGAAAGTTTCCCAGCTATCAAGAGGAATTGTTCCTTATGAGGTATATAGTTATAATGTATACCTCATAAGGAACAATTCCCTCATTAAAATCGTAGATATTTTTTACTTATTACTCATGCTTTCAAAATCACAATCCTCTGAAAAGTTATTTTTTATTAAGAATTTAGAATTTTGATAAATACCTTTTTTCAATTTGATATAATACTTATATATTTTCAAAAAGACATTTTGAAAAGATATCTCAAAAGTTCTCTGAAAACCTATTTTTTGATTAATTTTGAGAAATATCCGTATTAAATTAATCACTAAATTCATTCAACACTACTTTAATTTTTAAATTCAAAAAATTATATGTGCTTCTTAAAATGTCTCACAAAAATTTTATTATAAAATTATATACAATATTAAAAATCCCACAACATTTTTTACTTTACATAATCGTACTTCCTCGACGATTAATTTCCCCTCAATTCCTATCGTTGACCGAACTTAGCATGCAACAAAATAATCAATTTACATCGTTTTTACTCATAAAAAACAACTAATTTTTGATTTTGATATCATATTTGATAAATACTCATTCCAGAGTTGACGTAATGTATTAATTATTGTTAGAGATATTGCTTTCGCAGCAAAATTCTTATTTCATGAAAGAAAAAAAAATGATTTTATTCCAACAAAAACAAGTAAACAGATGAATGGAAACGTACTATATTTTCATAAATGTAGTAATCAGTGTGTCAGCTTTTGTTTATAATGTTCGAGTCAAAATGTATTAACTTGTAATAAGAAATATTCGAAGATTATATGAAGTATTGAGCATTCTTTGTAGAAATATTTGTAATTCATTACTAACATATATAATAAAGTTGTTTTTTTTTCCTTATTGCAATAATTTTGTCTGATTTTAATAACTTTTCATGTATACGAGTTGTGTGAATATGCATCATAATATGCGTAAATATACTTATTTGCGACGAATAATGTGGTTGCATAATGGAGGTGCTAAATTTTGATTTTTAATATGGGGCTTTGGTATGTATAATCATGTTCTTATCTCAACGTAGGAGTATTGGTGCAATATGATTAAAATTTACGAGGTTGATCTTAAATTGAATAATTCTGGAGTATAAATCACAATGCAGCTAATTCTATGTTAAAGATAGATACAGATTGTAGTAATCAATTAGGGAGTACAAATTCATTCTTTCATTTCTGTCGTATTGAGCAGAAAGGAAGAGATCATAACCCTAGGAAAAAAAGCCCAAATTCGTCACTTTTCATAGTACGTTAAACTCAATTCGCTCGGCGAATGCCGAGCACACGTACTCATCATTCAACATAATATTCTCATTCTTTGGTTATTATAGTGCCAGACAACACAAGATTTCAAAGAATTACTTGAGTTTTCAATTAATCTTAATCCGATTTTAGATTTATCGAGAACTCCATCATCACAATCACATACTTCAGTGCGGTAACTACAATTATCCATATACAGAAGGAAGTTCTTTTCGAACAACTCATTTGGAGTCTGTTTTGGAAAGAACTTCTTTCTGTCCGACTTAATTTCATAGTTCCTGATCAACCAAAAGACAGAAACCACACACTATCTACTTAGGAAAGGAGTTCTTTCTAAATCTTCCTTAAATTGAGATTTTACGAGAGATAACCCTTCTATTGCACTTAAAAATGAACATTTTGATATCTTTAGTATCACACATGGTCATATATAGTATTTCATCTACATGAATACATTCATCTTTCGAAGTCTCTCATTAAATGGGAGGCTTCGAAAGATGAATCGTTTTATTCATACAACTTTAAATCTCGAACACATTTAGAGAGTGAGTATATCATTTTATTCTTGTTTTGAGTTTATTCTGATTCAAAATTGCAGTGAAAACAGAAGTTCACACATCATATCTGAATGTGAGCTCATCTATACTTATACGATCTCAATACCTCCACTCTAAGCATAAGAGGTGAAGTTATATAAAAATTATCAGATGCGTTGAAGTCTCAAAAGTATTGCCTGAATGCTTGTTTCATATTTGTCCAAGTAGTTTCAATGAATAAATGTATTGTTTTTTATAATTTCGATTTATTTTTAGAAAATATTCAATATAAACCTTTATTGTGTTATTTACATCTCATAAATTCTCTGTCTAAATCATATAAAAGCGCGTTTTACCCCTATGAATCAAGAAATTCATTCAATATTCATGGTATATTTATTAAATTTATACGATTTACTAATAATCAATATTATATCCTCATAAATAGCAATATATTTTGGTAATCTATGATAATCATATACAATATTTAAAATCAAATTTTCATTAGTTTAGGTTCCTTGTTAATAGTAAACCATTATATTTATTACTAATAATAAAATCTATGTGTCGTATTGAAATTCAATAAAATTACTTATTCGGTCCAAAAAAAAAATTAGATAAAATTTTTCTTTTTTTATGTAATTTTTGTTTTTCATTTTTCTCAAGATCCTAAGTTATGTTCTAACTTTTGACATCATATCCTATCATGCTAGGCTATATATTATAGCATATCCAAAAGGCAAGGAAATCTATCAGAGAAGCCTTTTTGACCTATCGTTGCCCTACCTCTATATAATTTCGATTTCGGAAATTAAATTTCCAAATTTTTTGTCGATTTCGGAAATAACAGGATCCCGCATCCAACACGCAACAACAAAACACAAAACACACTTTTTGGTTCTTTCATCGTTTTAATCGTAATTTATGTAATACATGATTTGGATAAATTTTACAATAATAGAACCTATATTATATTCTTTTCAAAGATTCTTGCAAATCATCAAAAATAATTGTATTTTAAAAAACGATCAAATTATCCTTTCATTATTTTAAACTTAAATTAGTTTTTATGATTGACTAAAGCAATCATATTTATTCATCATTAAATAAACAAAAAAATAATATTTGAGAGTTATTTCAAAAAAAAACATTGAATTTATTAATTTGTCTCAATTTCAGTATTATAAATTTTTATAATTTCAATATTTTGAAATACACTTTTTAATATTTCAATATTTATGATATTTCAATGTATTAAGTGGTCTCAAATTGAGCTTCTCAAATATAAGTTGGCCTATTCAAATAATAAAATTAAATAATATTTAAAATAATAAATAAAAGTGATTGAGGTCATAGCAAAACGGCTGTTTCAGTCATTAATTCTTAAAAATAAAAAGGGTAAAAACTAAATACAATGGGTAAAATTCAATAGTGTCTGTGCTATCGTTCAATTTGAAGGTGTCTTTTGAAACCGCAAGACACATTGAATTTTTGAATAGTGTATTATGGTTTGACAGACACCAATGAAAAAAATAAAATGATATTTATTTTAAATATATAAGATCCTTATATAAAATATAAATATTTTATCGTTTTATTTTCTTGTTTTAGAAATGTTTTTTATTGAAAAATCAATAAAACTAACTCCAAAATAAAATTTTTGATTTAAAGACACTATGATGACACCAAGCAAATCTTCCAAGACACCTATCGTCGGGAATCTAACAACCCTACTTGAATTTAGCTGATATGAGAAAGTTATGGAAATTGAAGCTATACTCTTCATTTTTTGAGAGGCAGCAATCCCAGAACTGCTAACACTTTTCGGATTGTTTTAAGAAATTTTTCGATATGGTTTCTGATTCATTTGATTATTGCATTGTAGCAACTATATATTTGTATTCGCAGAAATATTGAATATTCTAATTATGGGTGCCGAAATTCAATTTGAATTCAATTTAGCTTGCATGATTGATGGATGTGTGGTTCGGCCATACGAAAATTATCGTTAAAAGTCCAAAATGATATGGAAAGGCTTATTAAAAATAATAGATTCTAATTCTATAAGAAATTTATATTCTGTTTTTAAAATAACATTTGGATTTTCGATAACGATAACTCCTGTTTTGCATTCAATTTTTGAATTTTCTTGAAAATTGGTAATGAATCCATAAATACGGTTTATTATTAGTCAAAATAAAATAGAGAGAGAAAATATAATTTGAGATACTTTGAAAATTTGAAGCAAGTCAATAGTATAATACTTTTTTTGTTATGATTCTTATAACAATACCAATTAAATATTTTCCGGAAAATCTAACGATACTTTGAAATACAAAAAGAGTGAGAAAAAAATATTTAATGATGGGTGATTTAAATGATCAATATTATCCTATTAAATTTTGCCCTAATTTTTAAAAAACCGTTATTCGTTAAGTTAATATAGTATTAATCAAATTCTTCATATTAAATCTCTAATCAAAAATTTCGTGAGAAAACATTTTTTGATTGAGGAAAAAATTCAAGCATCGAAGTTTTCAAAAAGTTAAATGAGTTCTCACAAATTTGTGTGAATTTCTTATTTTATTCCTTTTTCTAGAAGCTAATATACAGTTGTGTTTGACCATTTAAAGTTATAAAATTTGTAATTTTAAAGTCTCATCACACTTTTCAATGCTCGATTTTTAAAAACTGTTTAAAAATGGAGCTTATATTGAAATAGTGTAGAGACTAAAAATTACCACAGACTATTTCAGAGGATTGAGTTGCCACTCAATCCTCTGAAAAGTCTGAGGTAATTTGCAAAATTTGAGAACCAAAATATGATAACTAATCTAAATCGCACTCATTCAAAGCTGCATATCGCGATTTCAATGTTAATAATTATGACAATAACAAATTTCATTATCCGCGTTCAAACTGCATTGATTCGTCTTGATATTGAATTATTTTCTACTTACAGTGAAATCAAGCTCTCTAAAAAAGTATTTTCTTTCTTTCCAGATTTTGAGATCATATGCAAATACAACGAAACATTCAACCCTCCTAAAACAAAAATGTTGCTTTTATATGAGAATGATACAACGCTAAACACGTTCGCTAATAACGGTTTCTTACCTCAAACACCAGAGTATAATGACATTCAACATTTTCATTCAACTGTTATTCATGGGAGAAATATGTTTGTATCAGGTGACAACGCAATATGTACTCTTAAATATTATTATGACATAGGAGACAGAAACAATTTGACTGTTTCACCTTTTTTTAATGGAACCATAGTTGGGGAGTATGAAAGTGTTGTTGCTATAGGGCATTTATATACTGCAATATATGGGCATTTTATCAATGAAATAATGGCTCCTTCACAATTAATCCCTGCTGAAATTAGGAAAAAATCGTATATTGTTGTTCAAGGAAACAGAAGCATGTGTGAAGAATTAGTCAGAGTACTTGATTTTGAGGATCGAATTATATACTTAACCTGTGATCAATTTGTATTTTGTCGTGATCTTTATACAGTTTGCGATCCAAGAACTCATGGTGGTTATTATGGCCCTTGTTTAGGAAATTTGTCAATTGTAGTAAGGAAGTATTTTAATTTAACTAAAATCCAGCCCTTATATGTAGGATTGCACAAAAGAAGAGGTCCTACACGTGTGATTGCTAATTTGAACGAAATTATTAATTTTTCAAAAAATCTTAATGAATCAATACAATTTATGTATGTTCCAGATATTACAAACACTACGCTTGAAATTGCAAAAATCCATGCATCTTTAAGAGTGTTGGTTGGATCTACAGGAAGCAATCTAATTCGAAGTATTTATATGCATCCATTTACTTGTGTCGTTCAAATCTGTCCTCCTAGTTTTAATTTTGCTGTCACCGTTCAAGAAATTGTATGCAACCTTTATTCAATAGTAGTTACAGAACCTAAATTTTCTTTTAGAGAAAAATCTCCTCAATATATTAATATCACCAAAACATATAAAGCTATAAATATTGCACTATATGTTACGGAACATCACGAATGGCCAAATATTTCGGAATTTCATTTATTAAAGTAGAAGTAGTGTGTCGAAAATATGAGGATTCGAGATTGTTTTTACGTAATTTATAAATACCATCGTACATATTTGAGATTTGTGGTGTCTTTTTTACTATATTACAAAAAATCTATATTAATTTCACTTTTTAATATATGTTATATAGCTAGGGTTGTTAAAAATATCAAAAATTAGCGTTTTGAAGACACCATGGTGTCTTATAATTTTCCCTTCCTTATTGGCGTGTAGAAATAAATGCGCCAATAGATTGAAGAAGAAGAATTGTTTTTCTCTTAATGAACTTTAATCCTTTTGATATAAGAATATTAAAAACATTAATATAATTTCGAGTGGGGGACAAACTCGCCCATTGTCACTTTTTCATTAACCTTAAACTTGTAATTTTCATTATTTTTAATTAACCTTATTTCTTTCCCAATTCCTGATTTATTTTATTCACTTACTATTAAAAGTCACATTTTAATAAAATATAATAATTTATTTATAGCATTTTTTACTATACTGTAATAAAAAATTAATTATAATAAATTAAATGTTTATTAAATCAAATGTTTTCTTTGCAATAATATTTTTAATGTTGAGTAAACAATGTTGGGATCAAGTGTATCATTTTTCAGACCTTTCTGAACAGCTTCAAGCATACTGATGCATTCGACTTTTTTAAATTGTGTCATTTCTTCGAAATCTCTTGTGACTTTTTTGATAACTTTAACACTTCTCTCTGAATCCAGACCTTTAATTTGCAACTTAATCAGGAATGAAGGAACAACACTGGAATATAACTCGATGACAAGTTCATCGAGTCGAAGATTTGGTTGTACACCACTTGTATGTGCCGGATACCATTGTGTCAAATTTTTTCTGAAATTAACTTTAAAAGTACTAAGTAAGATCATGAGATATAGCAATATATGTTTAAACTAACTTATATTTTGGTTGTACACCACTTGTATGTGCCGGATACCATTGTGTCAAATTTTTTCTGAAATTAACTTTAAAAGTACTAAGTAAGATCATGAGATATAGCAATATATGTTTAAACTAACTTATATTTTGGTTGTACACCACTTGTATGTGCCGGATACCATTGTGTCAAATTTTTTCTGAAATTAACTTTAAAAGTACTAAGTAAGATCATGAGATATAGCAATATATGTTTAAACTAACTTATATTTTGGTTGTACACCACTTGTATGTGCCGGATACCATTGTGTCAAATTTTTTCTGAAATTAACTTTAAAAGTACTAAGTAAGATCATTTATTTTTGCATAATATAATGCCAATATGGTTTCTTTTGATTTTATTTCATTTATAAGCAAATCAGATTTACCCAAAAACTCCACTCCATAAGCGTTCATTTGCTAAATTAAAAAGTGACAATGGGCTAGTCTGTCCCTTTCTCATTCAAAAAGTCGAAAATTTTTCCGAGATGTTAATGGGCAAGACAGTTTTTCGACAAATAAATCGTAAACATGGGAATTAAAATAAGGCGTTATATTACATATATGGTAAAGAATATGGATGTGAAGAGCGTTAGTAGAATGGAAAGACTTTGAAATTTTAAAAAATTTATCTGGACTAAAAAATTATTTGATTATAAAAAACATATTATATATCAATTGCTATATAGAACTATCATAACAGATTTTGGAAAAGCCGCAAATCCCCAAGCTGGAGAATTCATTAAATACTAATTATTCAGCTTTTTATCAGAAAGGAAGGTAGTCTAGGGGTTCGGAACACTATGCTCTTTTTGAATCTAAAAGGCAACTGTTCAAATCATAACATCTTTGTTTTTTTTCTTATTCTGCCATTATTGTTTTTCCTTGTTATGATTCAAATTAAAAATATTTTAGTAAAGGTATTTTGGACATCATTTTTTCACATTGTCTCAATGCAAATGTTTGAAAATTTTGTAGGCAATATGACAACTCTTTCAACATTTGTTCTCTTTTATTAACTCAAACAGATTTAGGATCTAATTTCATGCCTTCGAAGACATTTAAACCATCTTCAACATAATTTATTGACAAATTGATAACAATTACTCATGAATGTCGTAGATTTAATATCCTGTCACTCAGCAACAAATTCGGGTTCAATAACAAAGCTCAGTAAAAACTTTACAGAAATTCTCTAATTTATTTTAGTGTCTTTTTGCGTCATTACGGCTGCATTTTCTTCTGCATCTGAACGCTGTGTTTGGAAGAAGACGAAATACAGAAACTTTCAACACAAGTAATCAGATTTTCTTGTCTTTCATGTTAAAATGCTTCATCTCGCTAGGTATACGTCATTTATTGGATGGATTGTTAGCTTTGTGTCCAAATAGCAAAAAAAAAGTATTAATTTAAATTTCGCATTTTGCATAAGTATACGCTTTAATTTATATCAAAACAGATTTAGATAGCTTAAAACAATATAGTTTACTCATAAATACATCTTGATAATTCACTTCTTCAATTTTCATAATCTTATATCCTGACCTATATCCTCTTATAAACCATATTTCTACTGAGATCTTCTTAAAGCATCTTTTTATCCCTATCTACGCCTCGAAACCCTATTTTTCCGGCGGAATATGAATCTTCGGGTCTCGCTGATTCGATTTCTGCAGTCAGATCGTAAAAATACTCACTACATAGCCTGATAATCTCAATTTAAGTTCCTTAATTTTTTTGAAAAAAAATTAAAACTCCCTTATCAAACATCATGCTCATTTTTACGAATTTCATTTTTCCTTTAAGTTTAAAATATACGCTTTGTAGCATGTTTATAATACATTTTCAATTTACATTTACATTTTTATTTTTGAATTGTTTATTTATATTTCCGTTTGAACAATAATATTTATTGAAAATTGTGAGAGAAACGGATATAATAAAAAACACCATACAACAAAATTCACTTTTTTTCATACTTACGCGGATCACTCCTTTTCGGCCCAATATGCCGGAAATGATAAAACTCTCAGATCTAGTTGCTAAGATCCAAACTCTCGACTCTCAAATCTACTTCCTCAGATCTTGTTGCTAAGATCCAAACTCTCGACTCTCAAATCTACTTCCTCAGATCTTGTTGCTAAGATCCAAACTCTCGACTCTCAAATCTATTTCCTCAGATCTTGTTGCTCAGATCTACTTCCTCAGATATTGTTGCTAAGATCTACTTCCTCAGATCTTGTTGCTAAGATCTACTTCCTCTCAATCTTTGTTGCTAAGATCCAAACTCTCGACTCTCAAATCTACTTTCTCAGATCTTGTTGCTAAGATCTACTTCCTCAGATCTTGTTGCTAAGATCCAAACTCTCTACAAATCTACTTCCTCAGATCTTGTTGCTAAGATCCAAACTCTCGACTCTCAAATCTACTTCCTCAGATCTTGTTGCTAAGATCTAAACTCTCGACTCTCAAATCTACTTCCTCAGATCTTGTTGCTAAGATCTAAACTCTCGACTCTCAAATCTACTTCCTCAGATCTTGTTGCTAAGATCTAAACTCTCGACTCTCAAATCTACTTCCTCAGATCTTGTTGCTAAGATCTAAACTCTCGACTCTCAAATCTACTTCCTCAGATCTTGTTGCTAAGATCTAAACTCTCGACTCTCAAATCTACTTCCTCAGATCTTGTTGCTAAGATCTACTTCCTCAGATATTGTTGCTAAGATCCAAACTCTCGACTCTCAAATCTACTTCCTCAGATCTTGTTGCTAAGATCTACTTCCTCAGATATTGTTGCTAAGATCTAAACTCTCGACTCTCAAATCTACTTCCTCAGATCTTGTTGCTAAGATCGATCTATTATACTCAATTTTACTTAAGCAATATAGATCACCTTTATTATGATTCTCTTTATCTGTACTTGTTTAAAATTAAATTACATCATAAAGATCTAATTACAAATTATTTAGAATTTTGAAATAAAACCAGTATTTTATCAAATGCTTTGAGATTAATGCATTCAAACTTAAAAAAAAAAGATATATTCAGATCAATTTCAATATTATTGATTTTTTAATGTAAAAACTATGTCTACATAGATCTCAAACAATTTTATTAGATACTCTTTTTCCCAATTTTTTTCAAAATCTCTTTTTACATATCAAAAATTGTATTTTTCAATTTCATTTTTATTTTTTCCATATTTTTTTTGGAATTTGGATATGCGTCCAAAGTAGTTATGTCATTAGAAAAATATTAGATATCTGAAGAGAAAATGATAACTTAGAGAGTTTTAAAGATTTTATTTTCGAATACAAATATAGACCTCAGAGGAATACATTCTAAATAAATTTGTATCTGAGGGTGAATAAATAAGAACAAAATTTAAAGGGTTAGCATAAATAATGTAGAAATTAAGATTGGAATTTAAATTTAATACAAAATTAAAGGGAATGAATTTGCGATTAGTAGGGTATGGCAAATGGATTGGGAAACATTGGTTACACATGAAAATTATCAGATGTAAGAATTTGGTGCAGATATTTTAAAAATGAGATCTGAGTGCTTAAACAATATCTCAAAATTCAAATTTTCCAAATGAAAATTTGGAAAATTCCCAAAATGCAGAATCAACTGATGATTTTCAATCATTAATAACGCCAATACAAGAAGATCATTTTCCTTCTGCCAACGAACTAAAACAATGGTTTGATATTGCCCATGATGTTTTAATTAGTCCGCCACCTGAGAATCAACATCCAGAAATTGATGAAGAAGAGACACAAAAAGCAATTTATCTATTACAAAACTTAGACTTTCCTAAGAAATAAAATTATTTAATTTATTCTTGTTTGTTTTTTAATTAAACATGTATATTTATTAACATTTCCTTTTTTAATACCTTTCCAACTTCTATTAGTAACAAACACATAACTAATTTGAAGATTTAGCGTTATGAAGAAGTATCCAAGTAATAACGTCAATAATGCATTTGCGATAGGATATAATTGCACCAAAGGTTAAAACTTGTATAAAGAATGAAAAATGAAATTTAATAC